CTATCCTCTTCGAGGTTATATTCACTCATATTCACTCAACCAAAGCTTTTAAAAGAGATTGCTAAATTTTTAGTTGATATAGATGCACTTCGTTTCCCGAGAGACTTAGCTTAAATTATAATATTTCTTTCTTTACGGTTTTCATATCTTATTTCTATGTTATGATTTCATTCTTGTATTGTCAAGCCAGGAGTGTTAGGGCTTCTCTTTACCAATTAACGTTTAATTCGTTTAATCCGTTTAATCCGTTTATTGTACCTTCGTGACGGGGATAATGAGAATCAATATAATTCGAATATCCAAATTATTGTAAGATGAAAAGACTATAAGCCACTACCAGCTAATTCACATATAAATGCGGTGCGTGCGGAATCGCACTGTTGACCTTATCCTGCTCTTTTTCGCACCATCAGCCGTTATTCGTTCTATCAGATTTGTGTAGTTGGTATCGCTGTGCAGTGTGCACAATGAGATAAGATCAACATGCCCGTAACTATGGTAAGGGTCAAACGTTTTTCATGACCTACGCGTAAACATCGGAAAGTAGAACTACTACTACTAAAAATCAGGAAAAACATATTATTAGGTATATATGATTAGGTTTATAGAATAGAAATTTTTCTTCCTAAAAATATTACCAGAAAGTTCATTATTATTATCATCAGATGGCACGTTGATAATCTAATGACTTTTAATACTATCGAAATTTGATTTTTTTTAAATAAAAGAGGGTGAATCTTGGAAAATGAATAACTCATCAAGCTAAGCTGGAACGTAATCCATGGCCATCAACAGATTGAAGTTGAGTCACTTTAGTTTAGTCACAATTAGATATATCTAATTGTGACTAAACTAAAGTGACTTAACTTCAATCAAATTGATAAACCTTCTATGATGGTGGTTCTAGATTTACGCTGTGCTGATCAAGAATATTTCTGAGTATTAACAATAGATTTATGAGTATAAACAAACAACGTTACAAATATCAAATATAGAAAGAATTTACGATCAAAACAAAGCAGTGACCTGTTATAGCTGTGACTAAGCTAAGTCTTTTCCTGACATATTTTCTTAACACTTGTTAAGTAACTGATGGGGGATAAGAAAGGATTAAACGCCGACGCGTAATAAATATAGCCCAATTATAAGGTTCACGGCGCCTAACGACCGAAGGATCAATATAAATAGGTACTGAACCTATAAATAGACCCAATAACGATCACCCGAGTCTCGGGTGGCCCGAGTTTTGGCGGGTAAACACATTGTTAGCACGGTTAGAATAACGGGAACTGGTACTTCTAGTGCCGCTTTGGCGCTAGATTTTATAAAACCTTTTAGTTCCACTAACTAACCACTCTACAGTCTACATAGAGTTACCCTAACTTAGTCACTACACGATTAATCCACTCAAAAAGCAGTGCAAACACATCATGACAATAGATTATTAATTTCAAATAATACTGTCACTGATAGTGCTAAACAGAATAGAGAGAGCTGTGGACAACTTCACCGGACCGTTCCAAGCTGCCTACAAAGCTGGCAGGAGCTGTGCCGACCTAGTTTGGGCACAGAGCATGCTCATATCTGTAGTAATGAAGAAGAAGTTTGAATGGAACAAAGTGAGTATCGACATGTCAGCTGCCTTCAATACCATCCGCAGAGGTACAACAATCAGACTACTAGAAGCTGCAGGATGCTCCAGAGACGACCTGAGGCTTGTACAATACCTCATGGCTAACACCACTCTAGTAGTCAGAGTGTGTTCTACTGACTCAGAGATGTTCTCTTTCAACATAGGAGCCTCCCAAGGAGACAGCACAGCTGGTAAATTGTTTACCCTCAATCTAGCTGGAGCTGTAGTGCACATAAGAGCAGTCCTCCCCTCAAGACCCAACCCTCCGATAGCCGATAACCACATGCCTCTTGAGTCCGGCTATTCAGACGATGTAGAGGAGATTGGTGAAGATATGGAGGAGTTACAGGATATCTTTCAGATCTCCAAGAATATTCTCAGTGAATGGAGTCTCTTTGTCAATGACACAAAGACAAAGTTTACCAGAGTGTATTTGGAAGAAGTTGGTGCCTGTGACGAGTGGGGTAATGAACTAAGAGGAAAAGAGGAGTGGAGAAACGAGACGCTTCTTGGTACTAAGCTTGGATCAGAGCAGGATGTTACTAATAGAATAAATAAAGCTAACTCTGCCTTCTGGTCATTTGACAAGCTGTGGTGCCAGGGATCAGAGAGGAGTCAGATAACTGAGAAGAGAAAGATCAAACTCTACGACTCACTAGTAGTATCAGTACTCCTGTACAACTGCTGCTGCTGGGCCGTACCTCAGCATGTTCTAGAGTCTGTAGATGTTGTTCAGAGGAAGCACCTCAAGCGCATCCTACACATCTATTGGCCTAGCTCAATATCTAACAAGGCCCTCTACGCTCGTACTCAGACCAGGCCCCTTTCCGAGAGAGTGGAAAAGGCACGGTGGACAATGCTAGGTCATGTTCTACGCAGTGACAACGACACGCCTGCCTACCAGTCTCTGTTATTTGCTACACTAGGATGTCAAACACTAAAGGGACGAGTGGGTAGACACAGGACTAATTTGTATGATATTATTGTAAAAAAGGACCTATTTAAGAGACAAATTTATTTGAAAAATGAAGATGATTTTACCAACTTAGTGAACTTAGCAAGAGATAGAGTAGGATGGAGGAGTTTATTTACTTTGAGACATATTGAACGAATGAGTCTTCGTAAGCGTAAATAGGCCAGCACTTTGCTGAGCCTCTTTAGGTGCTCTTTTGTTTATAGATGTTATTATATATATATATATTCAAATAATAACAATAAAACTAATTCCCTATGTCAATCAAAGCAACAGAAATGAATTGCAATATTCCCAAACACAATCCCTGAAACAAACACTGAACCAAATCTCCAGAACTGAAATTCAAAACAAGAGAACGGAGTAGCGTAGCGTAATGACAACAACAGAGAGCAGAGATCCTGTATTCTCTCTCTCTCTCTCTCTCTCTCTCTGAACGACGATAGTGTCACCTATATTATACGGTAGGAATAATGAGCATGCCATATAAGGGATTATCACCTTCATCAGGTCCTGATAAATTATCTCATACAGGTCAGCGAGACCAGACAGAGTGGAATATTTGGGGAAAGAAAGGATGTTTTGTTATCATGCTGCTGTGAGCGGGCATAATTGATATCATTTTGGCACGAATCATAAGTGGAGGAATCGTTCAACGATAGGAGATACTATCGCAATTAGACAAGCGAACGAACACATGGATATTATATATGCTCACTTAAATCACGTACTGCAGCCAATGAGTGGTCTTCATTTCACTACCAGGTCAGGAGCAAGGGGTGTTTAAGAGATTAATTATAAAGAGTAATTAATAATTATAGAGAGAGGGAGAGAGAGAGAGAGAGAGAGAGAGAGAGAGAGAGAGAGAGAGAGAGAGAGAGAGAGAGAGAGAGAGAGAGAGAGAGAGAGAGAGAGAGAGAGAGAGAGAGAGAGAGAGAGAGAGGGAGAGAGAGAGAGAGAGAGAGAGAGAGAGAGAGAGAGAGAGAGAGAGAGAGAGAGAGAGAGAGAGAGAGAGAGAGATAGAGAGAGATAGAGAGAGAGAGAGAGAGAGAGAGAGAGAGAGAGAGAGAGAGAGAGAGAGAGAGAGAGAGAGAGAGAGAGAGAGAGAGAGAGAGAGAGAGAGAGAGAGAGAGAGAGAGAGAGAGAGAGAGAGAGAGAGAGAGAGAGAGAGAGAGAGAGAGAGAGAGAGAGAGAGAGAGAGAGAGAGAGAGAGAGAGAGATAGAGAGAGAGAGAGAGAGAGATAGAGAGAGAGAGAGAGAGAGAGAGAGAGAGATAGAGAGAGAGAGAGAGAGAGAGAGAGAGTTGCACTATTACTACAGGGACGAGACGGAGGTTACCTCACTAATATACACTGAGTCACATGAGAGTAATGAACATTGAGCAACTGTACTAATCTACAACATGGTGGTTTAGTAGCACAATATATTAGTATAATAATACTACATTACTACAACGTAATGTAGTAATGTTACGATATATAAAGCGATTATACCCCTCATGCGAGAATAATTATAAGCACGTGATATTTAGGTCGGTACTAGCACTACCACTTTCATGACATTGCGAAGAGCTCCGTATTACAAAAAACATTATTACAAAGCACAGAGGGCACTGTAAGGATTAGGCTGTACATTATTAAAAGAGATATCGTAACAAAACAGTCAACAGATCTGGCCGAATGCCAAACCGTAGTCATGGGAGTCATGGGATAAGACTAAATACTATAACACAAAACAACGATATATATCCCAATTTTTAGCGTGGCGGGAAAAGTAACGGAGTGTAAATTCTTTTACTCAACCAATATCTTAACTAAGGACAAGGTAAGTCTAACAATATGTAATATGTATTGATTCGTCCATTGTTAATGGCCGCCCAACAACAATCAGCACTCTGTTAATACTCTCAGTGTGGCCCGAGTATTGGCGGGTAAACACATTAATAGCACGGTTAGAATAACGGGAACTGGTACTTCTAGTGCCGCTTTGGCGCTAGATTTTATAAAACCTTTTAGTTCCACCAACTAACCACTCTACAGTCTACATAGAGTTACCCTAATTTAGTTAATACTGAGACACGATTAACCAACTCAAAAAGCAGTGTGAACACATCATGACATCTCATGGCACTAGCTCATGAGACTGATTGCTTTACAAATTGTGGTTGATCATATGTCTGGTACATAATATTATCATGGTCCTCATCTACCACTCACCTCTCTACACTCTACACTCTACACTCTACACTCTACACTCTACACTCTACACTCTCTACAGGTGTGATGTAACTTTAATAAGCTGTGAACATGAGTACACTAAATAGATGGTAAGAGATGAGATGAGATGTGTGTGGAGGACTGTAATTAGAGGAGGAGAGTATTTAATTAAACACACCTTCAGTAAGTTAGAAGCAGAGACCACGTTTTCTTCAACAGAGATGAACGCGTCACCTTTGTAGTATTGTTTTACTCCATCATCTGAAGTAACAGGTGTAAGAGCAGCTCTTTAAACTACCTCCTCGTATTACTTTCTTATTGTGCATATAAAATGGTGTCGTTATCATTATCGAAAATAAAGCTGGAATGTTTTTTAAAAAAAGGGACAAGTATAGCAACAACTAACCTTGACTGAGAAGCTTAAGCGCACTGCAGATAGCGCCATCATTAAGCGTGACACGCACCCACGCTCTCACAAACCCCGCGTGTGAGGAGAGGTTCTCCATGTTTTCCAGAACTGTAATGTTTACTAGTCGGAGTGAGATAATAGATAAAGTTAGAGTGGGGTTATTTAAACAGTCACAGCTGCTATGTAATAATAATTATTCAAAATTCAGATAATTTTACATATCAAAGAAAATGTTTGTAGTACATAGAGATTATGTTCCAGAGTTAACTCATAAAATAAATTAAATACTAACTCACACTCATTTTGAGAATGATGAGAGACAGTTTTTAACAAACTCCACAGTTTTTCTCTCTCACAGGTCAGGCCATGAAGCAGCAGGTCCTCCAACACGCAACACAGAGAATCATCATATGGCTGAAGTACACAGTTTCAGAGAATTGTCATAGATATAATATGCATTTAATAAAATCACCATCTTTAAATTTTATTTGCAGCTTCATTACATTTTATGATAAATGTATTATATTTAGTAGGTCAAGTAAAGTATTTCTGGTAAAGCATTCTGCTGTTAACTGACGTAAGGGCTTCAGTGTTGTGCCATTTTACATTTCCGATGAAATATCGTCCTATCTATTAACTACATATTTGCTGTGGACAGCTACAAATTGTTAATTGTTGATATGTCAGACTACCTGGTTAGTCTCAAGAGCGATGTATAGTGAGTCACACACAGTTTTCAAGTCTGAGAGTATTTCCTTGGTCATGCAGCAAAACCATTAGTCCATAACGCAATTGCTGCAAAAGATATGGATGATTTTTATGGTTTGAAAAGCAACATTTTTTGAGTTTCGAATTGGTTTTGGGGTAGAAATGTTATTCAAAGTTTATTGAATTCTGATTAAAATATTATCTTGATACTGATAAAATGTATGCACAGGACCACTAGAGAGAAGAATAAACAAAAAAACATTGTCAGTTGCAGTTTAAATTGTAGTAAACAAATAATAGTTAAAATTAAATTTGAGCAGCGAATTAAAATTAAATTAAAAATTAAAAACGGCAGTTAATTCATGATTAATTGAATGAAACCCCTATATAATATATATTTTGTGAAGAATGAAAGGGTTTGTGCTTTTCTTGGAAAATGTTTGATACTTAGATTAGTGGTATTAACAATACGTTTCCGGAACTCAGCGGAACTTAAGCCCAATCATTCACCCATCAACAAAAATTAAAATAACAAGTTATCATCAAATAATTCTTTGTATAATTCGGTTTTATATGAATTGATCACTAATTTCAAATCACAGAATAGCTATTCAATATAATACAAGGTGCAGTGTGAGTCTGTTGGTGTTTGAATAATGAATCTTTTCTAGTAGCAGAATATGAGCATCTAGAGCATTTATATGGTCTTTCTCCTGTATGAGTACGCTGATGAACAATCAAGTGTCCTTTTCGCTTCGCACAGTAAGAACAATCAGGACAACTATATGGTTTGTCACTAGAATGAATCTGTGCATGCTGAATTAAATTAGATTTTGAGGCAGCAAAATATGAACATTGTGAACATTTATGTGGCTTGTTTCTGGCATATTGAGTTTTCTGATGACGCAATAAATTAGATTTACACTGTGGAAATTTCAATGGTTTTTCATTGGAAGGAGTTTGCTGAGGAGCAACTAAAATGGAGTAAGAAAATGGAGAGCGTTTATATAGAGTCTCCTCATGTGTCAGCCTATTTTGAACTGAATTTGATTCTTCATAATATGCTGTTTTGCAGATAGTTTCATCAACAGGAATAACATCAAGATTGTCATTTTCTAACACTGACTGGTTTCTGCCTCTGGATGAGCTCAAATGATGTCGCTGAACGTGCTCAATGAAAGGCTCTTCAGTGATAAATTGCATTTTACAGTTTGGGCAAACAAAAAATTCTGATCTGAGAAGAGCTTCATATGCTTCCTCTTTGATTTCTGTCTTTATCAAATCAGGTAACAATCCAATGCCATCCTCTTTCTTCACCTCATTTTCTTGTTTCATTTTACTGCTTTCATCAGAGGACCTAGTATAAATATTTTACAGCTGAAAGTATTATAAATGATTTCTATTTTTGGAATGTTTCAAATGAAGTAATAGGAAGAATTGAGGGAAACAATTATGTCAGTAATAAAGAGAAACATGATGAATAACTTTGGTTTCATCCCTGTGTGGCAAAGAAGCGGTTTTAAATCTTTATCCCAATGGGAAGTATGAATAGGTTTCAAAAGATGATAATGTATTTGATCAGGGGTGTAGGAACATGGGAGCGCCCCCCCCCCCCCCCCCCCCAGGCCCCTTTACCCAGAAAATAATAAATTTTTGACAGTTTTAAATAGTTCTGATCGAATAACTGTGTAGTTTAACCATTTGCAGCTATCTGCAGTTATTTACAATGCAATTAGACCATACTGTCTGCATTCTATCTGCACAATTTACATTTCTCATTGCTAGAATTCATTCAGGCTTAAAACATGTTTTCCGAAATTTTATTTAACCTCACCTGAAAATGATGAAGTCAATAACATTATCCATTTGTACATGCAAATCTGCAGTCTCACTCCGCCATATCTTCGAACGTTTGTTTCCCAGGAGCTGAATACAGCTTTAATTTGATTTACGATGTCAATCCTTCGCATCTCGCCAATCTGCATCGCAATCTGTGGTTGCGAGAAAATGCGCGGCGCGACCCAGTAGTGCATCGCGCTATAAAGCTTTAATTTTACCCATCACCCATACATCTTTGCATTTTTTTGGTAATGGTTTAGAATTAGAGTTATTGATTGACTAGAGGTATTATTTACTATGCTATACATTCTGCTCTCCAACAAAAATCTAGATCCTACCAAATTTACTGCCACAGCAAGAGCAATCCATTCAATTCTCTCTGTGAACGAACAATATACAGCCTATTATAAGAGCCCAGATTTCCACTCAAATACTGGCAAGTGCATAATGCTCTAGGAACTCAAAATAAACTCATGAACCATACAAATTTGATTTACTTAAAGAAAATAGCATTATATTATAACATTTCTATTTTATCCCTACACATTTGTAAATGATTAGAAGTGTGTAACTTAAATTATTTCAGAATTATAACTATTGTGAACTCAATAAAATAATTATCACTTTTGTATCCTTGTATCCTTGTATCCTTGTATCCTTTATATAAATCATTTTAGCTTGATTTACACGATTACTGTGGTTTTACTGCTTTACCCACAAACAGAGGCAGTATATGTCATAAATTCTTTTCTCTATATTTCTTGTAGTTTTACAACCTACCAGGACGCGCGCCGAGTTGGACTCGTTGGAACAAATATTTTCAAGTATCACCCGTTAATATATTTCCTAAAGTATGATATACCTTTTTGTAACTGTAACCCCATGTTTTCCTTAAGCATAGTTGTTTTATATGCTAGAGCTTACGATCCTTGACGGAGCTTTCTTGGTTCCAGATTGTTGCTCCGCACACAGCACAAAGTTTGTACATTGTTAACAGGTGATACTCATAAAATAGTTGTTTCAAATATTAGGACCATCGACGACTCCGTCGACGAGACCGTCGAGGAGTCCAACTCGGCGTGCGTCCTGGTAGGTTATAACAAACCTACAAGTAAATTGTAGTAGCGCTATGCGTTACTGGGCCGCACCACGCATCTAATAATACTTCTCTGTTATGTTTTCTAACCACTTCGTTCGATCGGTGAAATGCGTTGCTGGGCCTTGCCTTAATTGACGATGTCAATTCATCTCAGCTCGGCGCGGCACAGTAGCGCATCCCGCCAATCTGTGAGAAGCCTCACTGAGTGCGCGGCGTGGCACAGTAACGCATCGCGCTACAAAGCCTTGCCGAGCTGCAAAAATTGACATCGTCAATTAACACAAAGCATGCAATGCAAAGCAAAGATTAATGTTTGAAGCAAAGCAAAAATAGTAATTCGCGCGGCGTACAAGTGCATGTCCATTTTAAAATTGCTTTGAATTTTAAAATGTATATTTAATTAACCACAATATTTGCGTTGCAACGTTGGCTGAGTGCGCTGCAGTTTATTAAATTGTCAGCTCAGATTAAGCAGTTTGGTTTAAATAACCCAACTGATCTCCTCGCATAGAACCAATGTTGTATCACGTTGCGACCCCCACAGTCGTTTCACCTTTATCGTCCTGACGATACAGGGGGAGCCGCGCACTTCGTGTGCGGTGGGTCATACAACGTATGACAAAACCAGTGCATGTATTATTTGTCATTTGGCTACTGTTACTGTTCTCTTGAAATTGTTGTTTTATTGACTGTTGGAGGACTTGGCAAACTATCATTTTTACTTTGCATCGAAGTAAGAGATCGTTGCGTTGTTAATTCGCAGAGCAACGATCTGGAAGGGTTAACATCCTCAGCCAACTGTTACTGTAAAGGTTTTTAAATATATTTTCCTCATATCAGGTTGTTGTTGTTGTATATCAGGTTTTAAAGGTTTTTTACTCCGATTTTTACTTTTATGTAGGGTCATTGTGATATTATTTATATATTGTTTGAATACTTTCCTGTTTGACGACTGCTGAAGATTGATCTCATCTTATGTCATATCATTAATGACGGGTCAGCGATATTCAGACTCAGTTACATATCTTAGAAAGCGCTTGCGCTTTGAGGTATTAAAGACAACAGTTATTTCGATAATAAAGGGGGGACAGAGGGCCCAAGTTGCGTTATAAACCAGACAATATTGAAGATTTAGATTTAAATATTGAGCCCTTTGGCTAGAGAATACTTTCTTAGATATTTTGGACAGTTTTCAATATTGGTAATGTTAATGAATTGTAATTGATTGATATGTAAGATTTAGGCCCGTGGCCAGTTTTCATCATTAATGACGTTTAAGGGGATGAATGCGATAAGCCGTTTAAATTACAGTGCACATGAAAATTAAGTTACCTTTCAGTCATATATTCCAAATGTCCTAACATACATACATGTTACATGGCGAGATCTCCATCCAAAAGGATTAGTCTGCGTCATCTGCGTCATTACTTTGTATTATACAACTTCGGCGGGTAATATTTCTCCATCCTTTTCGATCTGCAGCCAATCTTCTCATACAATCAATCGTGAGTCCATTACGATCCAATCTCTGCTCAGCATCTTCAATAAATACATCATTTAAGCTCTTCCTTAGGGCCTGTCGTGATATCATGGATCGCTTAGGTTCCACCAAGATCTGGTAGTCCTCATAATTCTGCGGCCTCTATGTATCGTCATCTCGCACAACTCCGAAAAACCGTTGTGAGTTTGGCATGTGAAAATTTGCAGCCTTCCAGACATCGATTGGGTTAACGAGTTGTCGTACGTCACCTCAAGATCGGGTGACAGGGGGCTGAACAGGCCAGAACCCAATTGATTGGGTCTGAGGTCACGTGATTATGAGCCTGAGGTCACGTGACTATGACGTCACCAGAGCTCGTTCTCCGTTTCCCGCTCTTTGGACCAGGTGAGCTTGCATGCTTGTGAAAGTGGGTGTAAGTACAGCTGTACTGTAGTTACATCCAATTACTAACCCCTAATAGAACGAAGATTTATTTTCTGACAGAAAGCTAGAAATTTACCAAAATATCGAATTTGTTCAAAATTTATTTTGATGACCACTCCTGACCTAAAATTGCACGAGAAATCGATTAAACTTGGTTTCAGAACTCAACTATGCTTCCTTATGCCTTAAAATCCATGTTTTATCGATACAATAAACATTTTGATCCTGTGGATTAAATAGTAACAGGTAACAAATGCACAGAAATTGTTGATGTAAATGCAATGGTGATCACAACCAAGTTCTGAAATCACGCTTCTATAGGAGCCTATATTGGAACGGTAATTATTAGAACTGTCAATTGTCAGTGTTGTTGTTTTAAATTGTGTTGAGTACGGAGTACTAAACCTGAGCACCAACTACTAGTACTAAACACTAAAACCAGAAATAGATTCGAAAAATATGTTAAATGTTGGCCATTTTACCCTAATAAAAATTTGTTGATTATCGCGATAATTCTCGAAAATTATTGCGATAATCGATAACGATTTTTGGGAAATTATCGCCGATAATTATCGGCCGATAATATCGGTTGGCAACCCTATCTGGAACTAACTGCTGATGGAATTTGATACGATTCGTTCATTTTTTGTAAAAATTGTTAAACTTTATAAAATTCCGATATTCTTCAGCGTTTTAATCTCAACTCTTATTTTACTTCGGACATTCCAACAGCCACATTGTTACACAAGTGTGTAACCAGCCAATTACAGGAAGCCGAAGGATTCAATTATACATTAGGCCAGTGACGGTTAAGGTAGTGTGTACCATACTTTCTTCGCCCGAGACTTTGCTGCAATGGGCAGCTCCTCATTTAACCCTCACACCCGATTTCTCGAGTATTTGGCTGAGTGGACCGGGGGGCTGCATAGACCACTCAGGATCCTTAGCTGAGCGTCGACGACGCTCACCCCACGGCTAGTGGCAGAGTCGGGAATCGAACCTGGTACCTCAAGCAATACCAGGCCCGGATTAACCAACTGAGCCACTAAGCCGTTTTAAAAAAGTCCGAATCTTATGGAAGTAAGAATTTCCATTGTGTCTTATCGAAAGTGAGTGAGAGAAACACTTGTGGCAATTTTATTTACTGGTCCTCTTATTTGTAAAGCTATCCTCAATAAATTCAATTACAAAGTGTGATAACCGTTAAAACAGGGGTCGAATTCACAAAAATAACGTAAACCATTGATTTGAAGCAACCGCCGCTCCTGTCTTTTGATTGCTGATGATGATCAGGAACGCATGACGTATAGATATCATCACGACGATTATTGGTCACTCGAAATCGACCCGTTAAGAATGCAATGTAAGTGCGATGGTTTTTTCTGTGCATTTGTTACCTGTTACTAATTAATCCGCAGGATCAAAATGTTTATTGTATCGATAAAACATGGATTTTAAGGCATAAGGAAGCATTGTTGAGTTCTGAAACCAAGTTTAATCGATTTCTCGTGCAATTTTATGTCAGGAGTGGTCATCAAAATAAATTTTGAACAAATTCGATATTTTGGTAAATTTCTAGCTTTCTGTCAGAAAATAAATCTTCGTTCTATTAGGGGTTAGTAATTGGATGTAACTACAGTACAGTTGTACTTACACCCACTTTCACAAGCATGCAAGCTCACCTGGTCAAAAGAGCGGGAAACGGAGAACGAGCTCTGGTGACGTCATAGTCACGTGACCTCAGGCTCATAATCACGTGACCTCAGATCCAATCAATTGGGTTCTGGCCTGTTCAGCCCCCTGTCACCCGATCTTGAGGTGACGTACGACAACTCGTTAACCCAATCGATGTCTGGAAGGCTGCAAATTTTCACATGCCAAACTCACAACGGTTTTTCGGAGTTGTGCGAGATGACGATACATAGAGGCCGCAGAATTATGAGGACTACCAGATCTTGGTGGAACCTAAGCGATCCATGATATCACGACAGGCCCTAGCTCTTCCTAGGCCTGCCTCTTGATCGTTTCCCATGCTTGGGTTTCCATTCAAGTAGATAGTTAGGTAACCGATCTTCAGGCATTCTACTGACATGTCCAAACCAACGTAGCCGTTTTGTTGCTATTATGTCAGTAAGAGCAGTTATTGAAGCCCTTCTTAAAACATCTTCATTTCTTACTCGATGGAACCACCTCACTCTCAGGATTCCGCGTAAGCAGTACTGATGGAAAGACTCTAATCTTCTTGTCCTAATGTCCTAACATGGCCTTATAACACATAAATTTTAAAGTCTTCGATAAATTATCATGACATAGCTACTTGCACAGCTTGCTTTTTGTGGAGGGACTCACAGCCTCACATTAGAAAAGTCGTTAATGCATCATCGTCAGCCCGAATTTTCACTTCAGCTCACAAATCACGATTTCGTTACTTTTAAACAAAAGTTTTTTATTGGCAACAACGTAGAATTTGATTCATGATATCATTTTTAGGGTCCAGATGTGTAATATTTCGTTGGGCAATATGCATCGTTGAGTTTATCTGTGTCCATTCATTGTTTGAATGAATCATAATCTCTCTCCCTTACTCTTCTCCGAACAAATCTCATGACACCATGAAATTGCTCTTTATTATTGTCATGTCGTAGAGAAAAAATGAAGGCCAAAGTGTTCAATGTTCAGTATAATGTACCCTGTTTGCTGAAGACCGCCTCCTCTCGTTTCCAAGATGGATGTACAGTTTTGTTATGTAGTTCTTTCATCCTTCACATTTGTACAAGATGAGTTCTGCATACTTCCGACTGGCTTAAGGGCTGAGTCAATCTTGGCACTACAAGACACAGTTTGTTCTCCGTCTTAATAATACTTAGAATTAGAATTAGAATTATAATCAAATTTGCACAGCAATATTATAATAGAAATAGTCAGTTAAACAAAAAAGGAACAAACTCTAGAAAACTGTTATGAAAGTGCACCATTTTTATATTTCTATATTAAATTGTGCTTTGATGGCTGAAATATGTGTTTGGGTAAGTTTTTAATGCCTCAGTGTGCAATGAAAAATTAATCGAATAATCATGACACAAATATTATCACATGGGGACCCGCATCCCTTTAATTCACCCCCTCCAGTAAGAAGCATGCCCTCCCTCCAAACGCCAAATACAGCTATTGACGAATACCGAAAACCAAATGAAATCTGATCATGAACACTAAAACAAGATTTTAAACTGCAGCAGTGAAGAAGATATATCTGCCCTAACTGCCTCCTAGAAGTTCTTACTGATCAAGACAGGCTGTGCTCTAATTACTGCGAATTTTGGTACTATCTCAGCTGTGAGAAAACAACTCTCAAAGAATACCAACACCTACAGGATGAGAAGTTCAACACCCCATTTGTCTATGAAAACTGTGAAAGACAAGGCTTAACTACATCAAGACTACCACACTCAGATGAAGTCAACTCTTCGATTTATGGCCTTCAGGTCAGAGAAGCTGCAGACCCTATCTATGGAGAATAGTTCAATGGAAGAATAACTTGTTTAAAGTTCCAAAAGGCAAGGTAGGAGAGAGCTGGCGTTCCATCGAAGTTTCCGATACCTACAATGAAACAAGAAATTTCATTTTTAGCGCATTTTACTGAATCAAAAGATGTATTTAAACAATTCATTAAAATATAATGCCCATTTGGTTATGACTTTTTGTCCTTGACTGCTAGTCTGATTTTAATGGGGCAAGGAATGTGCGTGCTTAAAAGCTTTTGCACACACCAAAACGCTAGTTCAGATGAGTTTTAAAGATAGGGCTCATGTTAGGACTAGCTAACAATTGTTGGCAGACAACCTGTTTAGACTTGTTGTCACTATAATGGATTGCAGTCTTGTTGTGACAGAAAGTCTACACTTGTAATATTATGGTTAAAATTAAATATATGTTGCATAATTAGAGGATATAAAATTAGAGTGGATATTTTTATTGGAGGTCTAGTGAAAGATGATAAAATGATCAGAACCTTGAGAGTGTTCGACTGACACCCACAATGCTTCCACTACTCCTGACAACTACAGCTTTGGTGAGAATGTGAAATTGAGAAGATTGCTAGGGAATGTAATTCAATGAAAATCCACAGATGCAGTTGTGCTTGTTGATGTTGAAAATACCTTCAAATCGGAACCTAGCTCTGAGAAACCTCTGATACACCTGTCTAGAGTTGTTCACACACACTTACTAAACACCCACAGACAAGAAGCAGATCTAATATCTATTCATTGCCAACCTCAGAAAGAAACAACACTAGGTGACACCGGCGATCTTGTATGGTATGCCCTTAGCATGATGCCTTTACTCAGGGAAGTACAAGCAAAACAGACTGAACCAAACACAGAATCAGAAAGAAAACCCAACATTTATCCCAAACCTGTTTGCAGGAGGTGATAATTTTCTTGACCGTTGAGCGTTTTAAATATAGTTTCATATAGTAAATCCTAGTGTGGTGTATATTAATAAAACTTTCTATGACATTTAAATTGAAGTGATATTTTCTTCAGAATAAATTTGTTTTTTGAGACGATCTATTGGTTTGTTGCTGAATATTTTCACCTCACCTTTTATAACCGCTCTGACATTGTTTATTACCATATGGCATAATACAAGCACATTATTTCATTTTATAGTGTGGCATTGTTAACTACATCATGCTATTTAATAGAGTTACTAATATTGTACTAATAAACTTTTGACCCCAACTCACTCAGTTTAAGAAATTCTTAAAAATTCACAAAATCTAACCAGCTTTAGAACGTTATATGTATGGCCGCTGTTGCTGCTCTATTTTCCTTTACAACTTCTCCAAATGTTAAGAAGCTACTTGGCTGGAAACAGGGTGATGAGGAGGAGAAATGGGCGCTACGTGCCATTGAAGCTTTAGAAAAGAAGCTTCGAAAGAACAAAGGTTTTTGTCTATTATTGGCTATGAGTAATTGGGTATTTATAACATCTATAATCTGAATCAACACTACTAAAATTAGACTGAATTGTAGGACTTGCTTAATGTTTATTGGCGACAATCAAGTAAATAATTAGATCAGTTACGGTAAATTTCTTTTTGCATAAATTCAATTATATAATAAGACAACATAAAAATCAGGCAATCTGAATCGATTTTATAGACTTTAAAACCGTCCTAGTTCACTAATGGTCGATTACTACTTCAGGAGCAGTGATGGAGCTGGAAAATGCGTTGGCTACACAGAGTACGGATAGTAAGTGTGTGACTATACCGCGCAGCTTGGATGGAAGGCTGCAGGTATCTCACAGAAAAGCCCTGCCCCACGTGATCTATTGCCGGGTGTGGCGCTGGCCTGATTTACAATCACACCATGAACTCAAGGTATGCTAATTGTTTATGTTCCTCTAACATCCTCTAACATCCTCTAACATCGGGCAGCTTTATATTGTATTGCAATCTGGGTGATCGGTAGTTAGACTATCAGTCATTTAAGTTTAAAGATTATAAATTGAAGATCAATTATGCATTTCTCAAAAGTGTCAACCTTCAGTTCTGATATGTCTTTCAGGCTATAGAAACGTGTGAATTTGGTTACGAAAACAAAGCAAAGGATGTGTGTATCAATCCCTACCACTACCGCCGGATAGAGAGCGCTCCAATCTTGCCTCCTGTGCTTGTACCACGCTTCCCAATCAACAACGGACAGCCATGGAAACCCATACCAGATCCACCATTACCCTACAACCAGACCATCAATGCGACTCCCCGTAGTAACTTCGGCTACACGCCAATGTCCCCTGCAGTAACCATGGGAACTGGAGACGCCTTGTCTGTAATGGGACACGGTCAGCAGATAGGCATGCCCCTGAGTCCACACGGAGGACCACACACTCCCGGTCAAAACGTGCTCTCTCCAAAACCAGGCTCCGTTACCTCGCCGAGTAGCTGCATGTCATCTCCCAGGGCTCAGCCTGCAGACTACGCTTCGTACGGGTCTCCTGGCCAGTTCGGTGTCCAGTCACCCAACAACTTCCAGGCCCCTCATACTTACGCTAACAACCAAGGCTTGGCTGGAACTAGCTGTGTCTACTCGACAGCAAACCACGCCGCCAGCTACCCCAACTCTCCCAACTACGCACAAGCTCAATCGGAAAACAATAACCCGTACCCACAACAGCAGCAAGTGGACCAGAAACCACAGAACGGGGAGTACAGTGAGGTTAGGATGGAGCAGCCCTCTGTGTGGGCTTCTTTCACTTACTACGAGCTGAATACCCGGGTCGGGGATCCTTATCAGTAAGTTTCGTACTTCAGTAACCAGGTAACCAGGTAACCAGGTAACCAGGTAACCAGGTAACCAGGTAACCAGGTAACCAGGTAACCAGGTAACCTGACTACTAAGGTTCTTATTGTGCTGATGATGTAATGTTGTCAGTTTCCCACTGTATCGTGAAAGAAGAAACTTTAATTTAAACCGTGGTTAGTGTAGATTTGACTTGAGGTTAGCGAAAGACATTTCTTCCCTTGCCTCAGACAATTATACTTGTTTATTTGCAGTGCACAGATGATATATCCTGACCATAACTACGTCATAATTGACGGATACACCGAGCCCGGAAACAGCCAGCAGAGGTTTGTCTCTTTTAAAATATTGATCATTTTAAACTCTTTGTCACGTCACGTCTCAGGAAGTAGTATGTACTTTCCTCAAATATTTAAATAAACCATATACAACCGATGACACGGCGCGGATGTCGGACATACAGCACTAAAAATAACATTGAATTTGCAGGTTCTGCTTGGGTCAGCTGAGCAATGTGAGTCGAAACAACACTGTCGAGAAAACCCGGAAGCACATCGGCCGTGGAGTAAAAATCAGTTTTGAGGACAACAAGGTGTGTTTCGGTTTTAGTAGTTTGAATTATTTTGAATAGTTTGAATTTTTTGGTTTCCTTGTTCACGTCGGACTGTACAATCGATTCTTTCTAATTTGCTATTATAGCTGATAAGATGCTTAGACTTTAAGGAAACCATTGTACATAGATCATAAAGCTTCGTTCAGTTAACACATACCTCCACGTAACACATACCTCGACGTAACACGTACCTCGACGTTCGAATGTTGCATTATCCACACAATCACACTAATCCTAGACGTGTATAATGACGGTGTTATTTCGTTCTATTTATCAAACATTTGTCGCAATCTATGGACGGTACTCCTTCAGCAAAAGATTTTGTTTCCGTTTATTCCATGCTGACGAGCTCTTACTCCAAAACAATGTGTTCATTGTTCCTGATAATAACATTACATGGTACGAATATGTTGGTAACATTCTGCTCCAGTTAATGATCGCTCCATGGGCGGTTAATTTGTAAATCTCTGCCACGTTAAGTGCTTGCCTCCCGAAAATTGGACAAAAGATTGCTGTGTTATAAGCATATGTACGTACATTAGAGACCGTTTGAATGCAGTGATGTTTTGCTCCCGTATGAATAGAACCACCAATGCCATGCCGACTCGCCCTGATCCTTTTTGTAGTCCAAGACGAAGATTAATAAGCATACAATGGTTGATAGTGAATAAATTTTAATTGAAAAACATTTGATAGACATTTTCGGCACTTTGATCTATTATCGTCTCCCTTGCCACACCAAGGCAACTCGCAAAGATGTTCTACAGATCGCCTTTGAGCTTTCATAACTCCAAAGATGCACATTGCCCGAGTATGCCGTCAATTACAAAAATTAGATATCCTAAGTTGTACCCCTTGTAAGTTGTTACAAAGCGTAGTTTTAAGCGGAGATATCATGTAATACCTATGTTTGGTTGCTAGGCATATTGGCGCCGCGCATATTGATCTAACCTGTGCTTTGTGACCGTAAAGTCACTGACTATACGGTGAATTATTCAAAACAGCCTAGAATCTCCTGCCTAGGTAAAGATGGTATGTTGCAATATATAGATTACAATATGAGATGTTGTTCTGCATAACTGCAAGTTACAAATTTTATGAACGGAGACAAGGAAACATGCCTCCTCAAAATAAACTATCAAAGAAAAATCTTCATTCTTCAGGGACATAAGATTCGTAAAAATGGCAAAATTACATTACTACTTAAAATCCTTAATCCAGTAAATCGTAGATACTTAATGTATGGAAATAAGAGCAGAGCCGTACAGTCTTGGGCCGGGTATTACATCTCATTAAGTTACCCCCTAGATTGAGCTAAATTCTTTGATATAGTGAATTATAAACCTTGTTCACGTACATGTAGGGGCCTTATCCTGCATCACATGTAGTCAGGTTACCTGGTTACCTGGTTACCTGGTTACCTGTTACATGTAGGGGCCTTATCCTGCATCACCATGTCGGTATTTTAACCTGGCTTGAGAGCTAGGTCTCACATTTTAACCTGGCTTGAGAGCTAGGTCTCACATTTTAACCTGGCTTGAGAGCTAGGTCTCCCAGTCCAAGCTGTAAAATAGGCAAACAATCTTATCCAGTTCCCTTTTGGCGGTGCGCCAGTAAAACTTGGCGGTGCGCCAGTAAAACTTGGCGGTGCGCCAGTAAACTTAGGATAACAAGTTATAACTGCTATCTAATGAAAGTACTTTGCTGCACAGCAATGTTCCTGTGATAACACGTGTACACCAAGCACTTACCTGGTTACCTGGTTACCTGGTTACCTGGTTACCTGGTTACCTGTTACCTGGTTACCTGGTTACCTGTTACCTGGTTACCTGGTTCCTGTGATAACATGTGTACACCAAGCACTTACCTGGTTACCTGGTTACCTGGTTACCTGGTTACCTGGTTACCTGGTTACCTGGTTACCTGGTTACCTGGTTCCTGTGATAACATGTGTACACCAAGCACTTACCTGGTTACCTGGTTACCTGGTTACCTGGTTCCTGTGATAACATGTGTACACCAAGCACTTACCTGGTTACCTGGTTACCTGGTTACCTGGTTACCTGGTTACCTGGTTACCTGGTTCCTGTGATAACATGTGTACACCAAGCACTTACCTGGTTACCTGGTTACCTGGTTACCTGGTTACCTGGTTACCTGGTTACCTGTTACCTGGTTACCTGGTTACCTGGTTACCTGGTTCCTGTGATAACTTGTGTACACCAAGCACTTAAACTTTCTACAAGAATTGGACAAATTGTGAATGCCAACAATAATAGTTAAATTGTATGTAATGACAACTGTTACAGATTAACAAATAGGTCATTGCTCTGTCTTATACTTTCTGAATAATGTACCATAAAGAGAAGGTTACAAGTTTTAATAGCAACAATTGAGAAGTTTTAATAGCAATTCAGTACAATCTCATTGATACATGTCTTATTTTGCAAATATGGCATAATTCTACACAACCCATTTTGGCTATTGAAATATATAAGGAATTTTTACTGGCCATAAATGTATTAAACTTAATGGCAACTTTTCTGCCTGTGATAGAGCAAGCTAGTTTGGCCGTCGGAAATGGCATTCCTTAATGTCTCAAACGTCCAATTAACGATTCCCATTTCCCATGTTTGCGAACTATTTTGGATCAGCATAACTCTGTATTTAGACTGTACTGCAAAACATCACGTTTATTAATTCATCATACAAAGTACAGAGCTTATCCTTGACGGCACCATGTTTTGGGAGATATAGGCTTAGTCCAGACAACTTCATGATATCTAAGACCATATCTATTATCTAAACACCACTTAGGCCTTTAGACCATCCTGCATACCATATATTATTCTCCCCAACTAGACTAGATCCGAGTAGGAGGAAGTTACCTGGTTACCTAGTTACCTGGTTACCTGGTTACCTGGTTACCTGGTTACCTGGTTACCTGGTTACCTGGTTACCTGGTTACCTGGTTACCTGCATACCATATATTATTCTCCCCAACTAGACTAGATCCGAGTAGGAGGAAGTTAGGGTTACAGTAGTTACTCAATTGGGTGTAATTGTTGTGAGTTTTGCTGTCTTAGCAGTATTAATACCGTTTAAAATATAATAGAAGTCTTGGATAATTAATTTTCAGCTGAACAATTTGATTCCCCTCACCATTTATTGAATTTGTTCCAGACTTTAATTTCATAAAACGTATAACAAATTACACATCTAAAGCTCTCAAATGAAGGTTAAACTGTTTCTCCGTTCCACCAATGACTCTGAATTACCCCAAATTATCAACGTAATTAATGCTCAAATTAACAAACAGCCGGCTAACGTAGTGCAATTAAATCAGGTTTACATTGAGTGTTTGGGAGACAGCGCGGTGTTTGTACAGAGCCGGAATAGCAACAAGGAGTACGGTTTTCATCCGTCCACGGTTGTCAAGATACAGAGTGGAGTCAAGCTCAAGATCTTCTGTCACAAGCTCTTCCACGAGATACTCACCCAACAGGTACTTACAGTTACTTACAGTTACTTACATAGCTGGCTACATAATTCTCATTACTAATGAGCGAGTGAAACTTGTTTTACAGATTACGGCATGCGCTAAATTTTCAGAACTTTTATAATATAATAACTCTCTTTATTAACAAACGTGTACTTTAACAAACTGATGTCCCCTGTACCTACCTACCTATTGAACCTGTGCGCAACCTATCGCAACCGTTTCTGAACTACTTACAAAGCAATTTGCCTATGTCAGCGCACTCTCCGCTCACATCCTACACTCCTTGTAGTGGGGACCTTGTTGCCTCTTCTGATCGATAAAAAACAGTGGGTCACCTAGTTGCCTATTCGGCTAGCCTATAGAAAATCTGATTGTTTGACTGATTGCTAGACTCCTGATACAATCAGCTGAATACACGATATGTTCCCTCATGAATTGTAATGATCCTGTTTTTCTGAAGAATTGAGAGATAAGCATTAAATGTAGTAAGTGATGAGTCTGCATAATATGTCAGTCTGGCCATGTTATGTCAGCTCGTCATTTTCTCGTGTCGCGGGGTGTTTTTTCTCAAGTAATTTTAAAACTTGTCCAGTTTTTTCGAGACGTTTAATAGCTTAATAGGGATTTAAAACGGGCTTACAGTTTAATATAATATCAGAATATCCGAGCAAAGTTGTGAGAAATATGATATGCAGAGTGACGTGATGATATATATATTGTCTAATATCCAAGTTTCAAAATATATTGTCTAATATCCAAGTTTCAAAATGTGTTATTATATACAACATAACTACATCTGGCGAGCTAAAATATCAGCCTCAGACTGACAGAAGCACAAAAAATGTCCTAACCCTAATCACACCCGACCGTTCGAACCTGCTTAAACAGTTAAACCCTTTGAAACGTTCTTGCTTGAACGGTTTCTAAACGAGCTTCAAACCTTTCAAAAGGTGTTCTGCTTCTAGCCCAGCTTTCAGTAGACAATTGTTGAGGGCTCAACAATTCTCTGCGCCTAAAACAAAAAGTGACGGTGCTTTTTATGTACGTTACCTCAAGCTCAGGTCTCTGTTCCACATGCTTGCGTTATTAAACCATACTAGTGTTTGTTAGTTAACGTGTGGTGGGAGCTGGTCCCAATAAGATGGTTTTGTTTTGTTGAATTAGAACACCCTGCCGGCACGTCCTGTTCCATAAAATGTTGGGGAGCCCTGTTCTCAGTTTTAAAATATTATAATGCAGTATTTATGTAGCCTTTTTGTCCGCGGGTTTGGTTCAT